TCTGTGATTCCCCTTCCTCCTGCACTCACACAACCCCATACGCTCTGTTCCATTTACAGGTTATTTTCCCAAAGTACCTTGGATTACACATTGAGCTGCCCTGTCTTAAAATGTGTCTACGTTATTGAGGTGCAGGGTAGGATTAACTTTCAATTTCTGGAGTAATTTGAAGACGGAGGTCAACAGATGAAGCCCCCTTCCCCAAAGCAGCTTCTCTTAAAACTGGCATTATAGCAGCTTTTGCACAGATGCATCTCAAATTACATGCGCACGCTATATTATGTATGTCTTGACATACGCATGCACATATACCCATATGTATGTATATATACACACATACAAAATAATCCACATCGTGCCTGGTACTATTCCGTTCCAGGGGAAGCAAAGGTAAAAGTGGAAGGGAGGTGGGGGAGAACGGAGCAACAATTAAAACTTGGTTCTCGTGGATAGATGTACATCTAACTCACAAACCAGAGGTTTCCACTGGAAACATAAAAACCAGAGCGCTCTGTAGTTTGTCAGTTCTCACATGAGCTGGGAGTCTCAGGGGCCTCTGTAGTAGCCATTGAACCTGACCTCCACCCAGGTAGGGTCATTTTAAATTTGACTCTTGGCACACACCCAAGAAAGGAAGGCATTCAGAGGCAATTTGCTTTTGTCAGAGTTCTGCTTTGTTGTCATTTGGGGAAAATGTCACCTAAATAAAGAGGAAGATACAGAAGGCACCAAAACCTCCTTTTTTGTAAAGCAAACGTAGTAGATGTGCAAATGTCAGCAGTGGGAGGAGAAAGGGGAAATAAGCAGCTGAAGGAGCCATAGGAAGTGGAGAAAGATGACGGGGACAGGAAAAAAAGAGCATAGCAGGAAGAGGACCAGAGATGCAAAAGGTATAACACCGCCAGTAGCAAAAGAAGTCCAAAATGCCTCATAGGCCTATATTCTTCTTCCCTGTGAATATCTTGTGACCCAGTGGTCCTTGCAGCATTGTACTCATTTCCCCATAGAAGATGGAACTGAAAAACACTCCCCCTCTCAAGATGTCTGGGCCTGGTTTCTGTAATTCCCTCCTCTTGCCCCAGTGTGAGAGCTGGGTCTCTCGGAAGCAGCATACCACTCCAGAGTGGTCTACCTTCCAGTCCCTTTTACTGAGATCTGACAATCTCTGTGGATATGTGAATTTATCCTCCCCTACCTGCTCTCCCCCTCTCTCTTTCATGTGTACAGAGGGAGTTGAGATGTTGTAAGCAGAGAGCAAGCTGGAGTGAAGCGCTAAGGGCAGATGTGCTTCACTCTTCATTTCTGTCAGGGAAGAGAAAGGATGAGAAAATACTTTCTGAAATGAATGGAGCAATTCACACCTCTCAGAGCTGTTGTTTCAAGCTACATTTATGTCTCAAGCCATATTCATCTCCATCTTGTATTCTCACTCAGCTCAAGACATCCGACTGTGATGAATAGGTCATTTCACACCTTTCTGAAAAGTCTTCTGTTTAAAGGTCAATTTCTTCTAAGTGCTATATAATCCCCATGCTTATCGAACTGCCTTGAAATCTGGCGTGGTTACTGCAGGTGGTGAGTACAATTATTGATCTAAATGAGAGGTCATTTGAGTTAAGAATTCCCAAGATACAGCCTTTTTTAAAAAAAAACAGCATTCCTTAACATTGACTGACTGTACCAATGTTTCCTTTGTGCACACATCTAGAATGAAACTGTGGCCGGAGTCTGAATTGCTTAACATTTACCCTAGCAAATGAAAGGCATCAACTGTCTCCTTGGTATTCAGAGTTCAGATGTTTTTAAAAATTTCAGCTCCACACATGCAGCGAATTAAATGCTCAAGACTTCAGGGAGTTCCTGACCCTCTGAGTAGGTCTGAACATCTCCTCCTATTCCTAAATAAAACCTGGGAAATCCTTTTCCTTAAAAGAAGGAGGCTTGCTAAGTGCTCAGAAGTTAGACATTAATTGCAGTTAGTCCATTTTGAAAATTAAGAAAAACAGGAAAACAGAAGGTAAGTCATACCTCTGGAAACAGTTCAAAAGAGATAGGAGGAAGGGGACAGGTTAGATAGGTCAATGAAAGTCTGCTCTAGGCTCTGGTGGGACCCCAGCTCAGTAAGATTATAACAGCATCAACAGCTTGGAAAAAAAGTATGCATATATGTACTGTGCAACAGCAGTGATATTATGCAAGCACCTGCAGAGTACCAAGTATCTGCCATACAAACGGTGCTTAAAATATCAATGACTTAGTGGAACAGGAAGGATGTATAAACTGAAAATGGCAGCAAAAGAAGCTGGGGGAAAGGAAACACAACTACGTGTTTCCTCTCACGTGCTTCTAGTCACTGCAATTACTGTTGAGATCCTGAGACATAGACCATATCTGTGAATCTTTTCACTGGCCTTGTCAGCAGCAACACTCTCAAAGGATTCCACTACAGGACCATAGTTCCCATTTATGTTTCCAAGCATGTACAAAAGAGAAGGAACATTTAGGAATCACCAGATTCCTATACATAGATCAAATTTTTACCTGCTGTTTACTGCTCAGCCTGGCACGCCAAACAAGTTTGCTGACTTTTTCCATTGCAACATCACTGGAAAAAGCTGCTTTGCCTCAAGTTGTATGCAACCTGCCTGGCACAGCACCAAAACGAGACATGGCCTGACTAAATCCTTAAAGGACTTTCATGTTCCTTTTTGCCTTCCACCACACAAAGGAGGGGCTCATCTCAACAGAAGTGACTGTAGTAGAACTCATGTCAAGAAAATCACAACTCTTCTAAGCTGCTCCAGCTCATGTCTCCACAAATTCATTGTGAGGTGGATAGCAGTGTACATATAATGAGTGAACAGGTGGGTCTGCAGGTGTTTCTTTCCAGCTAATGCACCTTAGGTTTATATTTTCCATGTGCTGGAAGCTGCAATGCTATCAAGCAATCAGTGATTTAATTAAGGTATTTTTCAGTTAAATTCTGCCATTACTATTTTGTCATTTCCCTTCATTTCTCAAGGGTTGACATTTTTCAGGACTGAGAAACTATTTATTTAATTCTCTAAGTAACTTCAAAAATGAACCACATATAATTTTACAAACAACTGTGCATTAGTGAATAAAAGCAAAGTTACCATGGAATGTGTATGGAAACACATTCAACCTCCACTAGAATGCCAAAGGTGTTTGTTATAGTCAGTGTTTTAAAACTGAATGCCAGATGAATTCAGAATAATATCACATAACAGAATGCTATTGGAAACACCTACTCCAAAAGTATGTATACAGTCACATACCTGCATATAAATTACACAGAAATTCAGCCTTAATGCTGCTAATAAAACAGAACATAAACTCTGACAAAAAAGACATAAAGCAGTAATTGAAAGAGCAATGAGGTAATCTGATGAACTAATAGCTACAGATATAAAAACAAATTAGAATTCTGGCGATTCATTCAAAGAACAACTGTTCCTTGAACTTCATCTTCTTATTCAGATGTTGCCCATAAACACCCCCCTGCATTCAAAATTAAACACAAGCAACAAGCTATTAAGTAATTGATCTGTGGATGGCAAAATAGCACTCTCATATGGTACCAGAGTACATCAGATAAATGCCATATTAAATGAAATAAACTCCAAGTAATAAGTCAACATGAATCAACTTTGAAACTAACATTAAGTGTCAAAAATGACAGAGCTCAAAAGTAGGTCAAAAGATAACTATTCCCTTTCAAGGGATCAAAACTTATAAGAAGAGTGGGTTCCTCTGTGATTTCACAATACATTTGTTACAGGAAGGCAAGTAAAGACGAGTTCCAGAAGTTCATCATGAACAGTTGTACCATAATTATTTGAAAATGCAAAGTCACCTAGTACTTCAGTATTTCATTGGGGGCAAAATACCTGAAAATGGTCAGGACAGAGAGAGATAAAAGTGCAAGTGCAATACAAAGAGGCAAAATCACTCTCTCTACAGGCTTTAATGCAAGGTGATTCTGGTTCTCAATGTCCCAAAAAATGTGTGGGGTTGAGAGGAGGGGGAGGGGTGTGCTACTGAAACTCTTTTCTCGGATGGAATGAAAAGGGGATGCTTTTGACCTAATGCTCCTAAAAAAAAAAAAAAACAACCAAAATTGCCTGAATGATAATTGTTACACATTTGTTGACAAAGACTCATGCAGGCCAAGTGTCAAGACGATAGTGTGACTTCTTGAATCATTGACAACAGTAGATATACCGCCTCTTCTGCTCGTCCCCCGAAGTATGAAGTGCTGCTGAAGCCAGCTTTGGGTAGCTTTACAGATTAGTTTTTTTCTTATGTTATATAAATTTATCATCCTCTCTATTGAACAGAAGAGCACTCCACAGAAATAAGGCCTTCTCAAACAGAATGAGGAATATAACTAAGCTATTTTAACCTCTCAAATAAAGTGTTCCTGAGCTTCCTCTTAAATAATTTTTAATTAAAGTATTTAATAGGATGATTCCCACGTAGAATATTAAGCACATATCCTTTTGATTTCAAAAGGATTGACCCAGGGAGAATCTGGGGCGTGGGGTAACACAATATAGAACCAGCAGTAAGGGAGTAGCATCAAGTGGAACTCCCTTGGATACAGCAACTCTCAGTAAAAACTTTAAAATTCCAGTCACAGCAAAAGCAAACGGTGCTCCAAGCATTTTATTTCCAGGAGTTACATTCATCCAGGAAAGCAGAAAGCACTGGTTGTTTCACTAAAATTCAAGTTAATGGTTAAAAATAAGTTAAAATGGTTACTGAAAACTTAAATATGTGGTCTGGCTTCTTGCTAGTCCACACCATACTCTGTGTGCAAAAGGCAGTGTATTTAACATCTAAGTGTTCTCAATACTTCTTTTAGAAAAAAAAAAGTATCTCAACAGAGTAAAGTAAAATTTCCACATGATGACAGCTTCTTATACACGACTATTTGCATTAACAGGTTAAATGTCATTTCTTCCCTTTTAACTTACCGGGTTGACAATATGTCAATAAGTTCTTTTCTGTTCTGGACTCTGAGTGTATTAGTTTTGTATCTGGAATCCTTACTAACTTCAGGCAAATTCAGGATCTAAGTAAAAATAAAGGGGAATAAGAAATGTGCTTGGCAGGAGATATTTATATAGCTAAGGAAGTTCATTACTGGTTTAAGATAGTTTTCCAAAAATCCCTACTTCTCATTAATCTTTTAATATAGATTAGGAAATTAAGAAAAGATAATACCTCCTGGTTAATGTTACATAATAAGTACAGAAAAAGACAGAAATTAAACTGAAGATCCAAATCTTAGTTGATAGCTTTCACCATTAGCTAGGAGAAATTCATATTGTAGAATTCTGTAAGTTATTACCGTGAGGTTGGAGAGATCTGCGGGATTATCCTGCACTAAGTTATATGTCACAGAATAAGAAATATGACTGTACTTCATATGCTATACTGAGAAAAGCTATGTCTAAGAATATTTCTTTCCACTTCAGTAATTTCTGTCAAAAAGGCAAAAAAAATGAAAAGGTGTTTTTCTATTGAAATGTCATAGTTTTTCTTTATGATTTCTTCCAAAAGAATTAATAAAGAAAATTGGTGGTATAACCTCCAAGAAAGGAGAAATATATCTTCTATATGTAACTCCCACCTGGCACACTAGAAATTTAACCATCATGCAAAGACAATGTGAATTATACTATAAAGGGAATTAAATGTGGAGAATGAGTCTTAGAATTTGGTAGAGGCATTTATGAGACAAAGTACCTGTGTGGACAATCAATACTTACTATAGAATTTATCTATTCATGCCACAATGTATTTATATAGAACATAAATGAACAGAATGAGTTGTGCTTTCCAAATTTAATAAAAAATATCCCAATAACATCAGCTACAGAGGAAGGCAGAATAGAAACTTACAAAGAAAGAGACTGTTGTGTATTCTTCATGGATTTTTTTCTCACTAAGACACACTCAAGATCAATTTTACTTATGATGAGTCTTACAATTATTCTAAGCATGCTACATTTTTTTACAGGGCTATTTCCAATATGGCTTACAAAAAACCAGTAGTGGCCCAAAGCTGAAGTCCCTACAGCCCATTGTCCTACCTCTGCCTGTGGCTGAGTGCTGATGCTTAGGAAGAGCTTAAGAACAGGGCCAGTACATATGATACTTCCCTACTATTCAGCCAAACTCCAGCCATCTTTATATTAGGGCATTTTTGAGTTGGAGCTGTTTTCTATGCATTTAGCAATCCTCAATGGATTTTTGTTTTACTAACATGTTCAGTCGCTCCTTGAATCCATATGCCTATGTACTACCACATGTAAGTGATACATAGATTGGAGTCAATCTCTCTGGTATTTGCCTCAAACCTAAAATTCTACTAATTCCCCTGAGATTGGTTCAGACCAAGGCCACTATCATTTAACGACTCCTCACTTTGCTAGTGTGAATAAGGATATGGCTTCCCTTCCAAGTGAATAGCTGTGGATGATGTAAAACCACCAGCAAAATAGGTATTCTTTTAGCAGATATTTAGAGATATCCAAAACAGAGATATTCAAACCTTTGACATAGCTGTCACCTAGAGTGACAAAACTAAGCATGGAAACTAAGGTACCAGTAAGTTATGTTAGAACAGTGACCGTGTTACATAACTTTTCTGCAGATTTTTATCTGCAAGGTAACAGAGAACTTCAATCTATTATCTTCCATCAACACAATTCACAGCGTATTTTCTTTTCCTTCTATGTTTACACAATCTAATTTATGAAAGTCATAACATATCATAATCTAGCTTTAGAAAATGTTCTTCTTTTGCTATCTGAAAGTTTAACAATAATATTGGTACCCCCTTAAAGTTATCTACTCTTTTTAATACTGCTATTTTGGAGTTACAAATCATTGCTTTAGAGAAAAAAGTCATGCAAGGTTGTTCAAAGTAAATGACAGTGAATACTTATTTCTGAGAGTTTAAAAAAACAAGAAATTAATCAGAAAACTATGGTTCCATTTGATGAGTTGTATGAAAAATGATCATATGGAGTTGCTCACTCTACTGTTTTAATTAACGTTACTGACTTTAGCTTTAACTTAATGTCCATCTGTTGTAAAGCTGTGTGTCTATATATGTTCTTCTCAATTTTTTTGTGACTAACAAATGCACATTTGAGAAGTTATTCATTAATGTGCCATTCATCTTTCTGCATCGCGCTGCCAATGTTATTTTCTCTATTTCACTGTGACCACTTGGAATGAAACTGCTGTTCTCCAGTTCTAGGCCTCCTTCAAGATCTAAGATGCACATTCAGAGTTTATGCTCTCTGCGTTTTGTCTCCCAACACTAGCAAACCTGCTTGTACTCTCCTTTGCTGTACACAAAAGCTCAGTCTTCTGAAGACGCTTGCTCAGTATTCCTATTTAGACCAAAGCAGTACACATCAGGATGTGCTTTTGTAACACTTGACCACTATGGCACTTCAGCCAGCAGTGTTACAAAGTTTTTCTGCAATTATCCAAGTCCCCAAACAAGCTACAGTTAGTTGTCATTGATTTTGAAAATATCACAGTGAATTATTCCAGTTTTTTTCTTTCTGTTTGCCTGAAAAGATACGGTTGAAGCAGAATGTTTGCAATTGTTTACAGCTTGAGCCAGCTGTTACATCTCTAGAGTATGTGTCTTCAGGGCAACAGCTTCCATACAGCCCGTATTTTTAGCACCAGCTCATCTCAGAAAGGTTCTTTAATAGCAATTCCAATGTTTGAATTAGTGGTCTCTGTATTTACTAAAGGTTCACTAGGGTGTTGCGGGCCTTCCTGTAATAAAGTCCTCTTCCTTTATTGGCTCTCCCACTTTATGGTGTTTTAAGTTCCAAATCACCTTCGACTTAGCACAGAGCATACCTCTAACGGGTTTCACAGCATTCCAGTGACTTCCACATCACTCAGTTTCTGGGCAATTTAACAGCCCAAATCCATACCTACAATAACTCAATAAGGGTAAAAAGACCATTCTTTTTAAAAACAAATATGATAACCGGTTTATAGAAAAATCTAATCATTACCCAAAACTTGAACTATTTTTTCTGTTTTTTTTAATCCCTTTGAAATGCGAGCAATCACCATTTTTCTGTGTTCTGTACCTCCTACTTTCAATTCTAGAAATACCAGAACACCTTTATAAGGATGAAACAAAAAACCATCAGCATGCAGGCTAGGGCCAATATTCATCTCACTTAATCCTATGGACTCTGAGGTAACACAAATCATAGAAACATTGCCTCATCTTCTGGGGTACCATTCACTCCTTACGGATTACAGAGGGAGTATGTAGCAACAAGTCACACAGTCTCTCAGCTGCGCTCTGAAGTGAGGTCAATGCATGGTCTGAATTTTTAGTGCCTTCTAGCTCACGCCATGGTGTCAGAACCTACTGAGTGAGATCTTCAGCTCTGCCTTACTCAAGGATGGCAGGAAGACCAGTATTTGGTATGTAATTCTTCAGGCGATAAAGGACCAAGAAGACATTCACGGCTATGTCCTGGGACTTCCTGCAAAGATTTCCTTCATGAGACAATGAGTCTTTGAAAAAAACTGAGTTGTGGCAGGTAGACACTTATTCAGTCATTAGTCTTCATTCATGTTAAGATAATGACCACGCTACTGTGGTTGGACCCCTGTATGAAGAAAACCCACTGAGAAAACTTTGAAGAGGTTAACTTGCTACCTCTCTCAATAGAGAGCCAATTCAAGCAAATGAAACCAGACACCTCCAGATAGCACGGTGGGTATATGTAGCCCAAACTGCCCTAAGAGAGAATTACAGCTGCACTGCCTTCATACTATATATTCCATTTATTAGTTGTGAACATCCACAGAAATGTGAAATGTCTGACAGCAACAAATGAAGGAAAATAATGCTCAATTTCCTGAGGCTGCCAGCTCATTTAGAGCGTGATTAATTTAGGCTAAATATCCAACTTCCCCGAGAAAAACCATAATGGCAGGAAAAAGGTAGAACTCCCATTTTTAAAAAAGCTGTCTAATGCTATATGCAAAACTTCCTTTGTCCCAGCTTACGTGTTACTGGGGTCTTTTGTTTGGAATGTTGCTACACTTTATTTAAGAATAATTGTTTCCCTACAACCACTCCTTCTCTTTTAAAATGTATTCACTGTCCAGGGAAAAGCAACTCCAGGTATTAAAACAACAGGCAAAGAGTATGTGAAAAATCCAAAACTATTTTACAGCTTTCCAAGCTACCCTCTGTGAAAACAGAATTGCCAGAGTCGTGTTCCTTCAGTTCTAAATAATGAAGATAACAGATTTTGAATGCAGCAGTCCTGTTTGAAGATTTGTTCTTCAGCATCATAGCTCTGCACCACTCCAAAGTCAGCCCACAGTCCTGTAATATTTCTTTTCTAAGAAGTCCGCAAGTTTCTCTGTGAGCACAGACCAGCACAAACCAGTGTTCGAAAGGACTACGCACTCAGCTACTGATTAAAGTGGCACAAGAACCATCCATCGGCTATGTATTTTATGGAGAAATAGTGTCACATTTCTTCCTGAAAAAGGCACCAGTGTGAATTCCGTGACATTCACCATTCCAGAACTGGAAGGTTGTTAGCTTGTTCTTATTTTAGTTAATTAGCTGTGCAGCTGCACAGACTTCAAAGGGGTTCAGCACCCACAAGTTTGGGAATTGGGGTGTTCTGAATACAGAGGCAAAGCACAGAACCCGTATCAGTCCCCTAAGCTACCAGCCAGAACCTCAGGCTTAGAATTTATAGTTGCTACTTATTTTCACAAAAAAGGGGAATTAAGAAGCAATCAGTAATTATTTTCCTAGTCAGAATGGAAACTATTACACATTTCTGTGCTGTTGCCTAACATATCATTACCTTGCACACAGTGACAAACTGCTGATCATTTCCAGCTCCCACCACGATGTAGCCATCCTTGGTCTTAAAAGCCTGGAAGAACAAAGATAGGTGATAAACTGTAACTAAACTATAAAATATTTGCACATCTTTTAAGTGAAAACTTTGTAAATAATGTTCAAATTACTTCCTTAAATGGTTCCATTCAGATCCAATCTCTAGTTCTATAAAAGTGGCTCAAAGTTATCCACAAGGGTGGATGCAGACCTTTTGGTTTTTCTAGACTTGAGAAGTTATCTTGATTAACATGTTACTTGCTGAAAATGCGTCTTGAGGCATCCTGAAACTTTGCAAATATGTCCCACGCTCACAGGGACTGAGAAGAATTTACCAGGATAACACTTACTTGCCAGGAGTTATTTATTCAGCTTCATTCCTAGCCTGACGGAGAGCAGACAGTTGCACTGAGGTGTCACAGACCCTAACCAAATACGCAAAAAAAAAAAATATTGCCAAATAGCAATGACAAGTTAGGGACTCTCATGGGGATGAAAGGGATAGGCTGCATCTTTCCAGCTCTTCAGCTGGAGATTAAGCTATCTCCTTGGTCAGTGGTCTCAAGATGGAGCTCCTGGAGAAAATGAGACGACTTTTCCGGCTTTGAGGATTTCTTTTTTTCTTTTGACTTCATTACAGTGGCCTGACTGGCACATTTCATGGTGAACAGAACATTTAACTGGGTAGGACATAACAGCTTTCATTTCAGTCTAAATAATCTCCACTTAGGTTTTCACTGGAAAAAAGAAAATCTGTAATCGGCATCATCCTTGATTTTTACCATTGTCTCAGGGCATCTTCTAAAATTGGATAATGCAAACAGATTCCCCTTTCCTCCACACCTCTTCCTTCTACAAGGGTGTGTAACTGCGGTTTCAGTCATACGTGTTACAACCATATTTGGGAAAAATTCTTTTGCTATTAGTTTGACTTCAGTGCACGAGGCCAGCACAGGCTGGTGCACTAATGGTGATGAGGCCTTGTAATACTTTCTTGCAGAGAGAAAAACTCATCTTCTATTCTCAGAATTTTTTTTTTTACAAGCTATCATGTCCTGATCTAACAGTGTGAATTCTTACTAAAAATTTTCATAAAATAACACACAAATATAAGCCCTGGTGTGAGAACACTTTAAAATAAAAACTCTTCTTATGCCACTGTAGCTTATTCTTCTCCACAAAGAGGAATGTGCTATTCCAACTTGCAATCTTTCATACAGTTACAACTACATCCACACTAAGACTCTTTTACCACTTGGTATAGTCGAAGCTTTAAAATTCTATGTGAAAAACTACGTCCATTGAAATGCAAGTAACCGTACATCATAATTAGGACATCACTTGTTTGCTCTAGCTATGTTTAATTTCCTGGTAAATAGTATTGGTCAGTGATAAAGTTTAGCAATTTATTTTTCACACATTTAATTAAGCACTTCAGTCTAAGATTCTTCACAAGCAAAGATGAAATTCAGCAAACATTTAGTCCCAAGCATGCAAAAAAAGTCCCACTGACTTGACCCCAATACAGTAAAAGTCTAGAAGCATGCATAATATAAAGGTACTGCATACTCACGCTGAGGAAAGCAATGAGCACAGAAAATTTGGGGAAAAGAATACAGAAAAGAAAGTTGTATATGAGTGCATAAACATTTTTTAGATAGAGGTGTTCATGCAGATTTCTGTCTAAAACAATCATGACAGAGCCTGCTCTGAGAATATGTAAGACACTTCTCCCCCTGCCCCTGCAAATAAATGGCTTTTAGTAGGAATAATGATGAACTAAAACTGTCAGAGTAAACTTACTACCTTTAGTTACAGGCAAGATCTGTTTTCTGAACACCCTGCCAAAATCCTGACCTCTCTTTGCTGATGCTCTGAATTCTAAAACCAGCCACACACATTTCACACAAATTATGGGCTAAACACTACACGTATCTGGGTGCATATGTAATACAATATAGTTTTTATTGGTGCGACCACCTACTACTTCCAGTAAACACAAATTAGAAATTCTTTTACACATTCTTTTAAACTTCTAGTCTGGATGCCTGTTACAGATTGCAAAGCCTACAATATATGTCATATACACAGATCCCCTTCCTCCGCACTCCACAATATATTTAAATTGGTAGTATGGGCAAATCTTAAAGAGTTTACTATTTATCAGCAACTTCTTTTGAGACTCGCATCTCTGCGAGAAGACTGCAATCACACAATAGCTGCGTACCACTATGAAACACGTATCTGTACCCGTGGGCTGCCCATGCAGCAGCGGAAGTCACTCTACATTTAAGGGCCTGGTTATTAGCATTTGTGCTTCAGTTGCTTTGCGGAATGTGTGGGAAAACTGATTATTCTTAATTGCACTGTATGTCTAAAAAGCTAAAACAACAATCATGTCATCCTTACACAACAAAAATGGTATCATAATAAATGCAGCAGTGTCTTTTTCCATGGAACTTAACTCAAATGTCTTCGGCTGCTATTTTAAGCTTCCCGTTACAAAACAGCTGATTATTTGCCAGTCATTGCTGCTGATAAAGCAGAAAATTCCAAATGTTATTAGCACAATATTGATGCCAACATTTAAGGGTGATAACAATGGTTTTATTCATCACCAATAAATGTACGCACACTACAGGTTACCACAGGTTACCGTCTGGCCACAGAAAGCTCCACAATCTTATTATACAAAGGAGAGTAAGGGCAAAGTGCAGACAGATTTTAATGAGATTTTGTTTTGATAAACTGCTGTCCATCACATCGAATCATTTCACATTAGTGCAATAAAAGGCACGACACACACAAGGCAAAAGTCCTTTTTCCCTTCCCCTTTTTCTGAAGAATGAGGTCTTCTGATAAGATTCTTGAGAGCACGAGCATGATTTAACCTGCTACTCCCATGTGATACCCTGAGCAACAGGACATTGCTCGATGAAGACAAGAAACAAAAACCAGACAAAAAAATTAGTCCACGTCTTATTCATGGGAAAGGCAGAGAGAGATTGCGGAGCATCCAAAGGCATAGCTTTTCAGTATGGTGTAAAAAGCTTGGGGGTTTCTAGGAAGGTAATCCGTAAATTTACACTGAACAATATATAGTACGTGACATCAACATACGTGTGTTCAAAGCCAGATCCCAAGGTTCAGTGTGCATGCATCAACATCTCACGCTGACTAATGGATGGTACAGGACCTTGTTAAGACTCAGCATTTTTCTGAATTTGATCCTAGAACACTGTGTATAACTGAGATACTTTGTGTACTGAAACTTTTTAACCTCCTTAAACACACGGAATATAAACTCTGTCCACCTTCAGAAATGTTCAAAGTGGTTTACAAGTATTCTCCAAAAATGCTATACAAAGACGCAGGCCAAACTTAACCTTAGTTTATTATCAGAGCGGACAAAGACTTGCTGAGATAATGTGAGGCCAAACCAGCCAGTCTTTGCACTGCTCTAAGTCAACAGCCTTTCAAAATTTGCCAGCTTGGATGGTGTTAATGAAAGACCATCAATCTCTTGTATTTATTGCCTGCTTTATGAATTTTAAGCCTATATATGCTATGGCAATCATCAATCATACATAAACATCACAGATATTTCAAATTGCATGTTGATTCCACAAATAAAGCTTTAAAATGTAAGGGACCAATTAAAAGATATGCTAATTCCAATAAAATGATCAAAAGTCCAGGTCAGTTTTCAGTATTTGAATCCAAACCACAGAAATCAAAACAACCAGAACATCTGCAGCTGCGCATGGTGATGCTTTACTCCCCTCCATCAGGTATTTATACACATTCATAAGATCTCCTTGAGCCTCCTCTCTGCTCCTCCAGGATAAACAGTCACAGCTCGCTCAGCCTCTCCTCATGTGAGAGATGCTCCAAGCCCATAATTATTTTCATGGACCTTCACTGGACCTTCTCCAGTATGTGCGCATCCTTGTCCTGCAAACCCCATAAGTGGACCCAGTTGCGGACTTATAACTGGATCTACTGGTTATTCGTCCTCACCAGTGCTGAGCAGAGGGGAAGGATCACCTCCGTCAACCTGCTGGCAATGCTCCTCCTAATACAAACCAGGATGCTCTCTTTGTCACAGGGGCACACTGCTGGCTCATGTTCCATTTTTTGTCCACCAGGACCTTCAGGTCCTTTTCTGCAAAGCTGCTTTCCAGCCAGTCAGCCCCCAGTCTGTACCGCTGCATGAGGTTATTCCCTACCATGCACAGGACTTCGTATTTTCCTTTACTGAATTTCATTAGGTTCCTGTTGGCCTATTTCTCCAGCCCGTCAAGGTCCCTCTGAATGGCAGCACAACCACCTGGTATATCAGCCACTCTGCCCAGTTTTGTATATTCCGCAAACTTGCTGAGGGTGTACTCTGTCCATCATCCAGGTCACTAATGACCATGTTCAACGGTACTGGCCTGGCGTACCCCTGGGGATGCCACTAGTGACTGGCCTCCAGCTGGACGTCATGCCACTGATCACAACCCTTTGAGCACGACATGCCAGCCAGTTTTCATTCCATCTCAAAAATCTGAATCTAAATCAGCACTGTTGAGGGAGGGCACAGTGAGAGCACTTCATGGTCTAGTCTCAAAAGCTATTGGCAGATCAAATCCAGCACACACTGAAACATAGCCTCCAGCCATCACCGTAAGTAGGCAAGTTCCCAGTACCACAAGAACTGTCAAGGTCAAATGCAAAGGATGCAAATGCCATCCAGGCAGAAACTAGATGTCTCTTCTTCAGAGACTTCTCAGGAAGAAGAATTTGGAGGCCAAACAATACTTGGAGAGACCAACAGAACAAAGCATTGGGTTTTTGAAATTGGAGGATTATTCCATATCTAGGAGAGATTAATAACTTGTAATTATCTGAACAAGCTACTGATTATTTTCATTACCAGTTACACTATTGGCCCCTTTACTGACAATGGCAGTCAGTGGTCAAAATATTTGAAAGCTTCCAGACCTCCCCTTGGAGGAAGATTTGCACTACATTAGGTTTGGTAAAAGGGCAGCC